TAACCTCCCTTCTCTAAGTCTTGTGAGCGAACCCTCAGGAGTTCTGGGGTCTCGCATCTCCCCTTGGTGCCATTTTCTCTGGGGAAGTGGCAGAGGGGGTTGTGAAGGGTAGACTGTGATGCTGTGCCTGGCAGAAGTGACCTTTCTGAGGGATGGAGGGGGAAGGAAAACAGTCACTGGCTTAATCCGCAGGGTGCGAGGGAGTAGAGAAATTCCAGCCTTGCTATTGCTTTTGTATTTAGGGAATTTCGTGTGTTGCCTATGCGTTTTGCAAGTGCTTTGGCTGGTGAGAGAGGCTGTGATGTCCTTGCCCTCCTGGAGCCACCTGGGAGCACCTCACCAGGTGCCACTATAGTGAGGGACATGGCTGATGTGCTGCAGCTGACCTGCTCGCTCCCAGACTCCTGTGCTCCTGGTGTGACTGGCTGTCTCTGGAGTCCCAGTGGTCAGTGAGGTCACCCCCACGAGAACTCAGCCACCCAGTATGGGCCTTTCAGGCTTTGCTCCTCATGGTCTTGTTCTGAGAAGAGGAGATGGTGCTGGAGGAGCCTTTCTTCTCACCCTGATGCCCCTCCAAGAGCAGGAGAGCTTCTGCTGCCCAGGCTGAGGAGGACAGAGCTGCATGCAGCCAAGGAGACTGTTCCTGTCCCCACCCCAATATGGAGGGATTGTTTCCAAAGCTCTTGGCAGCAGAATAGGATGTTCCAATTGGAAAGGACCTACCATGTTCATCTAGTCCAATTGCCTGACCACTTCAGGGCTGACTAAAAGTTCAAGCGTGTTAAGAGCATTGTCCAAATGTTTCTTAAACACTGACAGGTTTGGGGCATCGACTGCTACTCTAGGAAGCTTGTGCCAGTGTCTGACCACCCTCTTGGTAAAGAAATGCTTCCTAATGTCTAGTCTAAACTTCCCCTGCGGCAGCTTTGAACCATTCCCATGTGTCCTATCACTGGATCCCAGGGAGAAGAGCTCAGCACCTCCCTCTCCATGTGAGGTGAAATGCAATGCTCAGAGGGAATAAAGTGCTACTTAGAAAGGATTTTGAAATATTTAATAAGAGATTATTACTACTTCAGCACCATTACTCCAACTACTTGATTTCAAAGCCTGTATGAGGCCATTGCAGCATGCAGGAACTGCAGATCAAAGTACAGGTGCCCATCGCATGTGGAGCAAGCTCAGGTACAGCAAACCTGTACAAGGAAGGCAGGTTTTCTTTTGAGCCTTTCTCAAGAAGCATGAATGTTTAGAAACTGCTCTTTGATCCTTCAGGATTTGGGATTTCTCATTCAACTATCAGTTTGTTGGGTGTTTTTTTTGTTGTTTTTTTTCCACCCCTTAGGGTTTTTCAGGCAGAGGGGAGGTGACTGCAGAGTGAGCATGGGTGATGCAGCCCTTGCCATCTCCTCTCTCCTCCCTTCCTGATCCTCTTTCTTCTGCGGTGTAACCCCCCAGCTATGCTGTGTAACACAATGATTGTACTCGGGCAGTAATTGTGTGTAACATGCTTCTTGTTCCTAAGCAAGTCTGCTCAGCAAGTATTCCCTCCTTCCTCCCCAATTTCTGCTCCCACTTTCATCTCCCAGTGCTTCGGCCGGCCAGGCACGCTCTGCAGCTCAGGTGGAAGTGAGCCAGCGTGGGAATCTGGGCACATCCTTGTTGCAGCAGATTTTGGCAGCCGCTGCCTGTGTCTCATCTGCTGCCAGAAACGCCACTGCTGCGGCGCCTTATCGTGCCGGTCGCGGTGCTTGTTGCTGCCTGCAGCATCCCAGCCATCGCAGGTGGGTCCCTGCCATGGCACTGCTTACTGCTGGAGTTGCTTGCGATGTGAGATGTCTTTGCCCGTTGCTTTGTCTGTCATGCCTGTGCGTCACCGGGGTGAGGCTTGGCTTGTGGCCCAGGGAGCTTTGAGCCCAGAGGAAGCAAAGCTTCAGTGTCACAGCAGGACAGTGAGTGACAGCAGGGCTGGGAGGGCTGGCAAGGCACCCGAGTGCTGAGTACTCTTCCTGTGCCATTCCTGGAGTACAGGATGGGATGGCGACCTGAGATGTGTTTAGGGACCAAACTTGCCCTGGTGCCTTCCTCCATCTCTGCCTGTGAGGGCTGATGGGTGTCTGTCACCTGGACAGGGCTGCTCTGCAGGCAGTGAAATGGCTGTGAGTGGTGGCGGGGGCTGGCTGGAGCTCTGGGCACTGAAAGGGAGCTCCAAAAAAGCAGACAGTGGGGTTGTGAGAGCTCCAAAAAAGCAGACAATGGGGTTTTTGGTCGGTCTGAGGTGTGCTAGGAGCATCAGCCAACCAACAAGATGCAGCCCACACTGAGTGTCTGTGGGGAGGCAGTGGGGAATGACTCGTGCTGTCTCTCATGCCCTATAAATACGCCTCTCCCTAAATAGTCTGTCTGCGCGGTTCCGTGGCAGCTGGGTGGCTGTACCCAGGTCCTAAAATACTTGTCTGTTTTAGGAGGCAAGGGGGGTGGGGAGGGAATGCAGCAGTTTGCAGGGTGCTGCCATTGCTCTGCAGGGCTGGCACTGAGTGTCCAGGACCTTCAGAGTCCCTCTGTCTGTCAGCCCTCAACTCTAGGGACTGGTAACCTGATTTCGAGGTGCATCTCGGCACCAGCTGTACCCCATCCCGGCGTGCTCAACTCCCATTGTGTGGCTGGTACAGCATGCTGCTCTGCCACCACCGCCCGCTGCTGGCAAGACCCCATTTCTCACAATCCTGGCTTTGTGCTGCCTCTGCAGAGATGAGGAGCCCTGAAGCTGTGCCCCATGCTTAACCCTTTCGGGACAGTGCATTTGCCCTGGGCTCAGTGCCAGGGCAGGCTCTGAGGGCTGGTGTTTGCCTGCCAATAGCATCCACAGCAGAAGGGTGAGATGAGCACCGCAGGCACAGGCTGGGCTTGCTGCCCTCCTTCTGCCTTCATCTCCATTACTCAGCGCTTCCGAGAGGGACTGGGCAGTGTCCTTACTCCAGATGGGCAGCCCTTGGTGGGGACCTTGGATGTCATGCTGCTTCTGCACCTAACCAGGGCAGCCTGAGCTTGCTGGGGCCAAAAAAATTCCCAATCTCAAGTGCCCCCCTGCCACTATAGGCTTTGCTGCTTTCTTTATCTGATCAAAGACACTGCATCTCCAGCCACCTTACTCCAGAGGAATGGCTCCACACCTTCCCCCAAACTTAAAGGAAAAGCAAATTGACAATTAAATACTGCACTTGCTATGCTTCTGTGAGGTCTTGAAAGTGTGTCTCGGAGCTGGGCTGGGTAATGCTGTGAATGTGTGCCTTAATTAACTGACGTCTTCCTTGCTGTGATGAACCCGCTACCTTTCCTCCCTGTGACGTCTCAGATCTGTGACCTGGTTCTGCTCTGACAGAGGTTTCTTTCCTAGTTTTCCAGAAAGCTGTCTGGCCTGCTGGGCTCATGGGTTTGCTGGGTGCAGAGCGTGCAGGCAGGTTGGTAGCAGAGGCTGCATGGCAGTCCCATAGTGACATCTCTGTCATTTGTGGTCTCTTGGGCCTGGGACCCTTGGAAACAAAGAGGCACAGAGAGTAAAAAAGATGGTTGTGGAGGTGGTGGGACTCTGGAAAGCCGTGGAGGCCAAAAGCAGCCCATGCCTGTGCACGGGAAGGCCGGGGCAGAGCTGTTGCCTGCAGCCCTGTCTCTTGCTGCCCATGACTGCAAGCAGCTTTCTCTGCCACAGCTTCCTCTGCGGCTGTGAGTTTCCTCGGCTGGAGAGGGCTTTCTTCCAGGATAACCACAAGTGTGCAGTCTCTGTCTGTGATGGCTACAGCCCTTAGCTCTTTGGAAGAGAGCTAACAGTCAATGGAAGAGGATGGGTGGGAGGATGTGACCAGCTCCTGTGCATGGAAAGCTTCAGTGCTGTGCTTAGGGTTTCCTTTCTGAATAGTTGAAAGGATTTAACTCTGGGGTGGAGATGGTGGCAAGGGGGCAGTGGCAGGCTGCGCACCCGGGCTGAGCCCAGCCTGGCAGACCCTGCCCTGTCCTCCGTTGCAAAGCCCCACCTCTGTGCTGGGCCCTGATGGCAGGAGCAGGATGAGGGAGGGCTGTCGATGGGCTCTCTGACAGCACAGCGCCCATCTCCCCAGCCTTTGGACTTTGAAACCCAGTGATGGCCTGGGTAGGTGTGAAGTGCTGGTTGCTGGTGGGCTGGATGCTTCACTCACACCTGCAGCAGATGTCAGGGGAGGAGTTGGTGCATTGTCCCATGCTAAGCATGACAGGTCGCTGCCTCTCCATCCCTAAAGCACTCTGCCTCTTGCATGGGTGCTCTCTCCTCCTGGAGAGAATCCTTGCTGTCCTTTGTGCTTTGCTGGGGGCATGTTCCCACTCCAGTCTTGCTCCTAGAGCTGGGCACTGGTTTCGTCTGCCAGCACAGCTGGGATGGCTGTGTTCCCTCAGGGCTGCCTTTCTGCTCTGCCCAGGGACACTGAATAAACAGCTGCCCTGAAGTGCTGTGCTTGTGTAGTACAAAACCATTTCAGAGACAATGATCTTAACAGCTAGAGGGGGTGTGTTTTGCTTACAAAGAAAGATAGCTGGGAGGTTCTGGCTGGCCTCTGCTCCCTGTTTCTCCTCTAAATGAGCAGGAGACCTGGCAGCAGCTGGCTCTGGCATGCCTTTGCCTCACCATGCTGGTGTAAGTTGTGTGTAAGTAACTTTTGTGCTGAACACGCAAGTGGGCGAGATGGAAATCCCACCCAGATAAGCTGAGTTCCTCCATGTTCCTTCTGTGTGGGTGGTTTGGTCTGAGCTCCCCTGAGCACTTCTCTCTCTGTTGAGACAGCTCTGAAAGCTGCCTGCCAGTTCCCCAAGTTTAATATATCTCAGCACTGGCCATGTTGTGCAGCTTCCCCTCTCCCCTGAGCTTTAAACCACCCTGTGACTTTATCCATTTGCATAGTTCCTCTTCTGGGAAGATGGATATGGGGGATGATGAGGGCTGACCCCTTCCCTTTGCACCTCACAGGTATGACTCGGGACGGGATGGATACATTGACCTGATGGAGCTGAAGCTGATGATGGAAAAACTGGGAGCCCCACAGACCCATCTGGGGCTGAAGAACATGATCAAGGAGGTGGATGAAGACTTTGATGGGAAGCTCAGCTTCCGTGAGGTGAGGGGGGCTGTGGGAACAGACGGGGCATGGTTGTGGGGCAGAGGGAGGAGGCAGCCAGGCCCTGTACTCTGGCTGTAGGTAGCACTGTCCTCTTCATGTTTCTCCAACTGTTGGGTGCAGTGGAGAAGCAGGTGAGCATCCCCATGCCATGGGGAGCTTGCGGTGTGGACCACTGTCGGCATCCATCTCCATGTGGCTGTAATGGCACCTTATGTCAAAGCTCTCCAGCCTCTCCACCCGCTTTGGGAGCACATTTGAGCCCCGCAGCAGCTGCCTGGGAGTGCTGACAGAGCTCCCTGCTGTAGCTGGAGGTGGCATGTCCCTTCAGTCACAAGGTCTCATTGCTGGGCTTTTGTGGTACAGCGGCTCAGGCCTTGTTTCAGATGCAGGGGAAGGGCTCTGATCAGAGCAGCTGGTCTCACAGAGCACAGGAGGCTTACCCTTCCAGTTTGCATTGGGTACTTCTCTGCATCACGCAGTGAGCAGCCACAGCAAGCTTCACGAGGGGTGGTCACCTCCCTGCAGCGAGGAGTAAACGTGGTGATGCAGCAGATCGGTACTGTGTGCTGGCTCAGCAGGGACACCCAGCAAACAGGTCTGTCACTGCTGTGCTGAGACTGCTGGCAGCAGTGTGGGCAGGCCAGCATCTGCTGCTGGGCAGAGGAAGAGAGGGAATTTGAGCAGTGACCTGCGTGTGCTCAAGGGTACCCAACTTAGCAGGAAGGAGGAGCCAAGATGTCAAAACCTCCTGTTGCACCATCTCCTCCTCCCAGGCTTTGACTGCAGAAGTGTATGTCACACTGTGGCTTTCTAAATTAACCAGCAGCCCCTTAGATGGCAGGAGGGCCAGTGCTACTGGTGTCCTGCAGTGGCTGTAAGGGCTGTCTTGCTTCTCCCACCCCAGGGATGGCTGCAATGTGCCCTGAGCAGCTGTGCTGCCTTGTTTCTGCAGGGGCTCTGCTCTTACCATGCCTCTTGCAGGGTTGGGGTTTGGTTGTGGAGATGAAGTGCAGAGCTCTCTGCAGCTCAGGACATCAGGTTCTTCACCTTGGAAGTGCCAGGACCATTGGCAGTACCTGGAAGGGGGAGGATGAGTAGCCAGGGCCTGTTACCAGCTGGGCTGGTTGGGGTGTGAGGGGCGGCTGGCAGCTTGCAGAGCTGCTGCACTGTCTCTCTGTGCTGGCGTGCCACATCATCTCCCCCTGCTTTCATCCCCCGACGGTTTTGTTGCATTTCTTTCGCTGCAAGAGGGCAGCAGTAGAAGATTAAGGCCAAAGACAGTTAGGTTACAGGGCTTGGCCCATAGAGGGGGGGAAAGGCAAACAGATGTTGGAAGCAAGAGCCTGTTTGTTCACATCAGCAAAGCTCTAAGCTTCTAACTTCTCTGGGCAGGGAAGGAGACATGCCTGGTCAGAGGTAGCAAAGAATCCAGTGGAGCAGGAAGAGCACCGTGCCCTTGGCTCCAGGTCAGACTGTGATTGCCAAATCGCTGCATGGGCTGGAGAAGCCTTCTCTACTTGGCCCCTAGGCCACCCTTCACCTTGGTTGAGGAGCTGGGGACAGCATTTGGGCTTGCTGCAGGGGCTCTCTCCTGTGAAAGAGAAGTGCCTTTATCCCCAATGCTCTGGAAGGTTCTCCGGTGTCCTGGCATAAGTGGCAGAGCAGCTCCTCTTTTGCCACCACCTGTTTGGAGCACAGCCCCCTGCACAGCTGCCTGTCAGTTGGCACACGCTGCCTGTGCTGCCAGCCCTTGGCCAGTGGCGTGTGGCAGCTGGTGCTGTTGTAGCTGCTTGCCAGATGCAAAACGATGGTCAAGCAAACACAAGCTTGAGTGGCACATGAATTGGAACAAAGGAGCATCCCTGGCAGAGCTCTGGAGACAAATTACAAAGCAGCTTTGGCATGTAACCAAAGCTTTCCGAGGTGGAGAGGAGCAGGATGCTTCTTGCCTTGTTGCAGATACACAGTGTCCAGCTGCTGTGTTGAGGCAGAGGCAGATTTCCTGGTGGGTGAGGAGGCCTGAATCACCCCGCAGCCCTGCCCCACTTCACTTCCTGTTGGTGGTGATGAGCAAGCATGTGGTGGGTGACCAAGCTGACTTGGGACACTCTGACAACATAAGGAGAAACCGTGGTTTAAATGAGTGTCTGGATTCGGCAGGGTGTAACTCGAGCACTGGAGGGCTCCCGTTTGCCTCTCCAGAGAATACAGAGTCCTGACATACCTGCCTGAACACCTGCTTCTCCTGGCCTGACTTGCTGCTGGTGAACTGCTGGCCCCGTTAGGAAAGCTGCCTTATACCATTGACCTGTGAGCATCCATCAATACATCAACAATTAACTGTGCAGAGCTCCATGACTCAAGCAAAGAAATTCAGGCTTAAAAAGATTAGGTATGGTGGGGGGGGAAAAAACCACCTCTGACTGTCTAGTTTGGTTTCCTGTGGTAATGACAGGAATTAATTGCTATAATAGTAATGTCTAATTGTAGCTGCTATCTAGAATCCGCAAAAATCCACCCACTGTCCCCCAGCCCACACCAGCTTAAATGCTGACCCACCTCATGTGTTTGCTAGCAGGGCTGGTGCAAACCACGGCTTTGGGTGGCACTGCTTTTCTGGCAAGTTGCTGTAAGGCTGCTGTCACCAGTTGGTCCCGTACCTTCCCTCACATCCCCAGGGCCAGCACAGTGCCTGGTGGGGCTGCGTAACTGCAGCGTTGTGCCGAGACCAGGCACTGTGGGGTAGGTCTTGGATGATGAAGGATGTGAGAACAGATACATCTCTTATAAGGTTAGTAGAGTGGAAAGTGTGTGTCATTCCCTCCTTGAGAGTAGGGTTTTTAAAAGTGCCAAGATTACTCACTTTTGCTTCTCTGTTGATGTTTCCCTGAGGCTTAGCTGCATGTGATGTATCTTGGGCCCAGCAAGGGTGTGAGATGGGCTGGGAATGGGAACTGGTGGGGAAATGGCATGTATGTTCCTGGTGTTCTCTAGTTAGTGAGGACCCAAGCCTTGAGGGCAAATAACCAGTGAGGTGGGCTGCAGGCGGTGTGCTTACATGAGGAAGGATTGCTCCTGTGGAAACGAGCATGGTCCACCTTGCTGGGTTCTTGGGACTGGTGTGATACTGTGTCTGCCCAACCAGTGGCTCAGTCCCTGGTTTCCTTGAGTTCAGCTTCCCAGTTGCAGCAGCCACGTTCCACGGGAGTATTGCTGCCCCATCTCCTAGTTTCAGGATGATTCATCCGCACTTGTACTCTTGACTGGGTGTTTCCAGTCCCTCCCCAGGCGACAGCTGTACCAGACCTCAGGATTGTGCTGCTTCCACTGCCCTTTTCCAATGCCAGGAAGTGGGACTTGCAGGGTGGAGCAGAAACTGTGAGGAGGAACCATGACTAACACCAGCCTGGCTGCCAGCCCTCTGCATCCCCGGGACTGGTGGTGGAGGAGGAGAGGAACTAGCCACTAAGATCCTAAGCTTAGTGGATCTGCGCAGAGGGAGAGGATATCTTGGGGAGGATTTGCTTTTTCCCTGAGTAGGTTGTTCTGCCTGTTCAGCAGAGTGTCATTAAATTTCTTACATGTGTTTTGTGGGGGAAAAGTTCCCTCCCCAAGCACAGCCTGCTTTCTGGCTGCTCTGTGCCGAAGACGCGCTCGTTACGAGGCTGTTGCATGAAGCAACCCCTGGTGACACTGCCTCGGTGAGAGGGCAGCCAGCGCTGCTGTCATCCCCACACCCTTCCCCAGGGGAGACCTTCCCAAACTCTTGCATCTCCACCAGGTTCTGCGAGCAACTGGAAGCATTAAGGGCTGTCTGAGCGCGGATGCTGGGGCTCTGCTGCCCTCCTCCGGGACAGCTCAGGTTCTCCACAGGAAAAAAAAGCAAAGTCCCAAGCCTAAGCACAGCACTAGAGATACTTGATGTTCCTGTGCAAATGGATTTCAGGGTAACCCTACATGGTATTTGCAGCCCTCTGCCCTGGACTGAAGTGGTGCAGTAGCACTCTTTATTGCTTGTGCTCCTTTTGTACCCCAGTGACTTGTTGCCGTCTCTGTTCTTTCTGCAGTGTGCCAAGCATTGAGACACCTCCTGGGGTGGCCAGGAATAGCAGGGAGTTACAGGAACTCTCGTCACACATAGTGCGTTCACATCTTCAGCTGGAGTTTGGTTAGCAGGTTGAAGGTGGTGCAGAGGTCTTTTATTTTTAAGCACGCGAGCCTTGTTCCTTCAGTAAAAATTATGCTTTCCTGGATGATAATATGGCTCTTTTTCTGTTTGTTTCCTTTTGCAAGTCACTTGCCAACATGCATTCTGCTGTAGTGACTCTGGATTTGTTAAATGTCTATGGGCCAGTGCAGGACAAAGGTTTCAAAACTGGTTGCCTTGTGAACACTCATTGAAGCCACTCTTAACTGTCCCAGGGGCCTGCCTCTGAGCTGACCTCTGACAGGGCTTGGAGAAGCTCTCCTGGGTGTTATTGCATGGGCACAGAAGGAATACCGAGACTTTGCTCACCTTGGCAAAACCAGCCAGGGTTTCCTGGAACAGGCTGAGACGTAGCTCCAAGGGTTGACTTAAGTCACTTTTCCCATGCCCTAGACAAGAGACCAGTTGAGGTAGCTAGTTCTCCTGGTGCACTTGGCCTCCTATACTATGTGGACTGTAGAGCTTGGAAAGGACAGAAGGCAGGGTTCATGGCAGCCAGGCAGTCCCCAGATCCCTTTCAAGTGTGTGCACTTGGGCCGCTCTTATCTCTTAATAGGAGCGGACTGGGGTTCAAGTGTAAGCCAGGGCTGTCTGCCCTGTTTTTGTTGTCATGGGATGTGATCTGAGCCCTCAGAACACTGGGGAAGCTGGTGGGGGACTTGTGAATACACCATTAGGGTGTGGGGACATAGAGAGGTGTATCTGAACCCACCATACGGTCGCACCAGGCAGGTGAAGTGTCCTCCTTCCTCTGGCCATGTAACTCAGGCTTGGTAGGAGCTGTGCTTCACCAGAGCTCTGCTCCCCAGAAAACCCTCTTCCTATGTGATTTCTACCTCTTAGTCCGACAGGGCTGCATACCAGAGCACTGGAGCAGAAGTTGTGTGGTGCCACTTCATTTATATAGACCTGGTTTCCTTTGCTCAGAAATGTAAATTCCAGCCCCTTCCAGGTAAATGTCTGTACTGTTTGCATTTTAAGTTGTTTAAGCCTCAGTGAAGAACTTGAATGTTTCTTTTCTGTCTTTCTAGTTCAAATTTTCCATAAAGCTGCAGCTGGGGAACTCGAGGAGGACAGTGGCCTGTTGACTCTTGCAAAGCTCTCGGAGATAGATGTCTCCATTGAGGGAGTGAAAGGAGCCAAGAACTTCTTTGAAGCTAAGGTACGGTGTGGCACAGGGGGGAAAAAATGTGAAAAATGTGAAAAACCTGCATACAGGCCACTGAGACACTGCCCCTGCTTGTTTTTCAATAGAAAACACTGACAGATTTCTCCAGCTGAAAGGATGCATATTTCATGCTTCCATCCCCCTAAACTCAGCCATAGCTTTTACCTTCAAACTTTATGTTGGACTCTAGCTACAGCCTTCCTCTGCAGATCAGTCAATGCTAGAACAGCTTAATTCACTGTCTCTGCTGTGGGCAGAGCTGACTGACTGACCTGTGTCCCTGTGGGACTCAGAGTGCTATTGGAATAGCTGGTTGACCGCTTTTAAAGACAAAAGCGTCCTAGAAACTAACGGGCCTGAGTTTCCCATTTTGCAAAACCTCCCTCAACCTCAGCACTCTGAGTTCAGTGGTGAATGCAGTATTTTGGAGTACAGTATTTCAGATGTCTTTCTTGAGCAGTTCTCTGTAACCTTTGGAATAAAAATTGTTCTGCAGGGTCCCAGGGTTGGCAGAAAGAGCTTTGCACGATTCAAAGCTGACAAAGCACCCTTTTTGAAAGCTCTCTCAGAGAGAAAATAATCCTGCTTGTTTATACAAGAAATTTTTTCCCAAGAGCATAACGCAGCTATTGCACAGCAGATGTACTGAGATGAAAACTGGAAAAATAGCCAGCAAATAAACAATGTCTCTTTGATCTGCAGATTATCTGGGGTGTAGTATGATGTTCTCAGATCTGGCTGCGATTCAAAACTGTTTTCTACAGTAGTTTCTCCCATTGTATACTCACAACTTAAGCTATGCTGCTTGCTTACAGAAAGAATGTATGTGACCGAGTACTGATCCATTGTTTTGGTTGCTTCTTAGTGACTTATTAGTAAATGACCTCTCTTTTATTGCTATTAAAGTCAAGCAGGCTAACAAGAATTGGGTGTAAATACCCAAGCACTGCAGTATAATACTTGACCCATCCTGACAGAGATTCCCAGCCAGCACTTGGAGGTGCAGCAAATGGTTCTGCATTGCTCATCTGTGAGCAGTTCAGGCTCTGGCTGTCTCTCTGATGCAAGGCTTGATGCTCTTTTATTTTTCTCTTTACTAAAGGTTCAAGCCCTGTCTTCAGCCAGTAAGTTTGAAGCAGAGATAAAAGCTGAGCAGGATGAGCGAAAGCGGGAAGAGGAGGAAAGGAAACACCGCCGAGCGGCTTTCAGGGAGTTAAAATCTGCATTTACCCAGTAACTGACCAGCCAATATGTACTCTGAGATTGCACATGACTTGGTACGTTTCCCTGATCAGGGCTCTACCTGAAGAGAACTGCCTGGATCCTGCCTAAAACTCATTACAGCTTTGCTAGCCTTCCTCTCCTGAAGATCCTCCTGAGTTTCTAAGGGCACAACTCTTGCAGTTACTATGCATTCCTAATGATGTGAATCATAAGAGCTGTGTACGTGCTGTTTGTTTTGAACTGTCAGGAGCACGTCACCCTGAAGCAGAAACAGCAGGTAGCAAATCACAGTAAGCACTGACAAGCTTCGTGCTCGCCGATTTTGTTCTTTCCTTCTTTCCTAGACATCCTTTTCCTCTTAACTCCTTACTAATTAATTCCTTGCTTACAGGCAAGTAGTGAGGTCTTGTGTAAATCGGTGTATGAAGTACAGCTTGACTTCCTGTACGTTTGTACGGCTGTTGGATGTTGTCACACACCCTTGATTATCCCTTTCTTCATCCTCAAAGCTCTGTGCCACAGGCACTGTGAAAACACTGTGAAGAGAGAAAGATAGTTACTAGGGACATGGATCAAATTAGTTATAATATCCTGTAGGATTTTCTGCCACCCAGTGTGTTGGGGAGTCTTCCAGTTTTTCTTCTCTGAAGTGCCATAGTAACAAACCTTTCTGTAACAGTTGAGAGTTCCCAAGACTTCAAAGGGAGGAAGCTTCTTAAATGAGGAATAGAGAACTGGGTTGCCTGACCACATCTTTCACATTCCATCATGTGTAGTGTACTGTATGGCTTTGCTGTTTTTTCCAGCCTTTGGCAGCTGTATCTGTTTTTAAGGGATGTTGCCAGTTGGACAATGCCATCAGAGGGCACACTGGGGTTTTCTATTTGGGAATTTGCTCATATCCTGATCAAGAAGGTGACATTGTTTGATTTCATTAGAGCCACGACAGATAACACCAGCCCAGCATGCTGAGCAATCCCTGCTCAAGAAGGGAATAGCAGTAAGGTGAGCACGTTTAGCTGACCTGAATTCAGAGGGCTTGCACTATCTTATTAGCCATTTTCTTTTGCAAACACAGGAAACTTGCCCACAGATGTTAAAATGCCCACTGCTTGTCTTCATATATACACTGTAGGTCATGGCAGGGGAGCTGTGTTCCCTCAGAGACCTCTCTCAAAGCATGGATTTGCTCAGATTCTGCCTCTGCTATTGCCCCAGTTCATGCATTTTACTTTTTTTTTTTTTTCTTTCCAGAATGCAACTCACTAGTCATCTTTTCACTTATCTGTTTTGCTTCTTAAACTGTGAGCACTAAACTGTGAGCGTGGAATAATAAATAGAAAAACCTCTACTCTTTAATGTCAGGTGAAAGAATTGCTAAACAATTAAACTGTGTATATATATCTTCACAGATTATATTTTATAAATCACGCTTTTTTTAGCTAAGTATTTATAATTAAATGTTTTTATACTTTACAACAAAGCAGATAATTTCCTCTTCAATTATTTCTCCTGTTGCTGAAATGTACAAATAAAGCATTGTTATCTCTGGTCTTGTCTGTTGTTTATTTTAGCTCCCCAAAACCACAGTTTTGTTCACAAATTACAGTAGCAATCCCCACTCCTGAATGTGCCTGTCTTTGATCCCCAAAGCTCAGCGTCCTGATTCAGCTGAGTAAGGGAAGTGTTCAGCCCCTTCTTGATAACACTTCCCCTTCTGTATAGCAGTTCTGGTGTAAAAAGTCCTCATGTTTGCAATCCCTCAGAAAGGGATGTGGCTGTGGAAATATTTGAAATAGTGTCCACTGCTAAATGTTGGCATCTGAGTGTTGTCAGCCTTCTCTTGTCTTTAAATAGCTTGGCCCTGGTAGTGCCCCAGCTGGGAGCCAGGCAGGTTGCTTCAGCTTGATTTCCCTTCACATTTCCTCCTTCTGCTTTTAGAGAAGTGAGATAAAATCTGAAAATGTGTCCGAGCATCTTGTTTCTGCTGTCACTGATCTGCTCAGCTTTGCTGGCATGGCCAGTTTGGGGGCGAGAGGGGCTCAGGAGAAGGTTTAACTGTGCCTCGTTTCAGGTACATTCCAGTGATGAAATAGAAGACATAAATATTTTATCCAGTGCAGCTCTGCTCTGTGTGTTCTCAGCAGTCAATGCATTTGCCGTGTGCCTGTGAGCCCTTGGGTCTTGGAGGTCAGGTAAAATCAGGGTGAAAGTTCCTCAGTCTGTTTCCACAGGAAAACTGCAACACTGCAATTCCTGATTTTCCTTTTTTTTTCCTTCCCCCCCCTCCTCCACAGCATAGCCAGCACTGCTGACTCGTGCTGCCCTGCACGTGCAGCTGGGTGAGGAGCCTGGGGCAGCAGGAGGAGAGGGTGGGAAAAGGGCTTCCCTTGGTTTTATTCTAATAGATTTGAGTCAACTCCAGCTGAAAAGTTTCAGTAAGGAACTGAGCAGTGTGACTGACGTAGTTTTGTTCCATTCAAATAGGTACTGTTGGGGCCTTTATTCAGTGCCGTGAACAGCAAGTGCTTTGGGATTTTTGAAGTGGCAGCAATGTGAGTTCTGAAATTAGCTCTGCAAAAATTGACATTGGGCAATTAATTGCATTCTGAATTGTTCTGGTTTGCTGGCAACTACTGAATTGAGTAACAATGTCATTAGGTTATGCAGAAGTACTAAAAATAAATTGTCTGGCTAAACCTCCCATCTAATTCTGGCTGGCAATACTTAATTTTATTTACCTATAATTAATATATTATAGTCTTTGATGCTCTGTCCTCCTCTTATGCCTGATGTCACTACAGGTGGCTCTTAAAGGTCGTGGCAATCCCAGCTCTCTTTACTGGTACCTGCTGGTACATCCGTACTGGTGTGGCTCTCCTGACATGCCCCAAGTGACTCTAAGTCTGTTTGTGATGGGAAGTAAAGAAGTTTGATGACAAGCCTCTTGTGGCTATGTGTCTTTCCCAGAAGGGACAAAGACCTGCCTCAAGTTGCTCAGCTCCTAGAATGGGTTTAAGGTGGCTAAACTGAATTTTAACCTTATAGGAGTGTCCAAATAAATCCCTTGCAAGATGAATTGGAGTAACCAGAGTGCTTTATTGTCTCCTTTCAAACTCAGCTTGCCGCATGTGGGAAGGATGTCTTAAGATACTGGGGTGTTGCAGAGGTAGCAGTGTATTTGTGGTAGTCTGTCTTTCAGTGTAAGCTAGTTGCAGTGACGGGTCTGTTGAAGCGACTGACTTCAAAAACTCCACTTGGATGTTCACCTGCCTACCTTGGCTGTGGCTTTTATAATTATTTTTAGGGATGTGACAAAGGAGGAAATTCTCCACTCCCATGGAAAACAGAGGCTGCTGAGAAGATACTGACTCTTCCCAAACAAAATCCCTGGTATTTTGACAAACGGAAGAGCCACTTTCCCAAATAATGAGAAGCGAGGGTGGCAAGGGGAGATGTGAGAGACTCTGACACATCTTCTGGGCTGCTTTATAGCCATTATTTACCATTTTGGAGCTGTGCTCTGCGTTTATAGCTCCTCTGCCATACCGAGGGAGGCAGGGTCTTGCTTCCAAGCTAGGATGGATGGAAACAACAGGTCAGTAAAGAAGGTTTTTAGTTTGTTAGGGATGCCATTTCCCTGCGCCTGGATTTTTAATAGCAAGGATGAATTGGCATGGTAATCAGGAGGGCTCTGAAGTACTTCACTGGGTACCTACCCTGGTGAATGTCAGGCTAGTTGCTGGGGTAATTTCACACCTAGACAACATCAGCTGAAGCCCTGTAATTGAACCATGCAGGAATTTAACCACAGAGGTGTACAGTCTTGAATTTTCGAGAGAGTCTCCCTGTTTTGCTTGAATGAGTGTTGTGGAGGATTTAAGATGCTATTACAAGAAAAGAAAAAAAGAAAAAGGTACTCTGGGTTTCCTTGAGATATTTTACAAAAATGTAAATTTCTGCAGGTGAGACTTGTTTCAAACACTCTCTCCTTGATTTTTTTGGTCTCAGTAATATGTTTGTGCTAAGTAGGAGAAAAAAAATTCCATCAGCGCTAAACTTCTTCTATCTCTGATAAAGCTTGTCCTAGGGCATGTTTTGAGTGCTCAAACTCCAGTTCGATAAGCAGAGTAAGAAGGCACAGCCACTTGTGCAGTGAAGTTGGAAGTTGTGAGAGCTGGAAATGCAGGGCTGCTGCCTCTCTCCTGCTCCACGTCATTATTAGTATTGGCTCAAGCTGTGCGACAACAACTGGAGGGGTTAGGTGTAGCTTATCAAAGGCCAGAGCTTTGCTTTTATATACCAACCTCCTAAGGGAGAAATGTCATTCTAAGATTTTGGGTGAAGCAATCCAGTTTGATGTTGCTCTCAGCTAAAAATACATCCTAAGAATTACAGGCTTTCAAGCCATTAGCTCGGAAGAATCACTGGTGTTCACTGTTTCATCATTTCTGGCTGGTGTTCAGTGCCCGATGACTGAATTTATTCGGTATTTAGGTATTTATTCACCGAGAAGAGGAGGGGGAGGGCTACGTGGGCTGCAGCTGGAGTCCTGACCGGGGTGAAATCGTTTCAGCTGAAAGCGGTTGTATCTCCAGTAGCGCCTAACAGCCGAGAATAGTTTTTGAGGCTGGAGAGCCCCGTGGGGCTGTTCTGCATCATGTGCTAATGTGGGCTTTCGGGCTAAAAATAAAACTGTAATTTTAGCTGGGAAAAAAGTTCGAGCTCCCGATTTTTCCACCAGGTTAATTCGCAGTAAGAACACGTTACCGCCTAGCGCCCTTC